CCACCCCCCTGGAACTTGCTCCACTAGGTAGCTTCAATCTCTCTCATATTTAAGATCTGTTCAACATGTCTGTCTCACAAGCTCAAGCCTCGACAGTCATAAAATCATCCTTTCCTTTATCTTGCTTTCCGTTCAAGTTCACCTCACTTTCCCTTCTCGCCAAATGTCCTTAGAAATTGTAATCGGTGCTCCCTGTTTCTGCTTCTTCGCCCCACTGAACCTTCTCAGGCTGTTGACATCTGACTTCTTTCTCCACAGCTGCAATGAAAGTGCGTGCTATAACTCTGTCAATGTCAAATGGGAAGGTGGCCAAAGGGAGGAAGGGGGAGAAGGAGGGCATACAAGCCTTAGGAAGGAGAGGTAGGTGCTTGCGTGGACTACTGGAGATGACACAGGGCACAGAGAGGGAGAGTCTGTCCTTAGGCTGGAGTTGGGGGGAGGAAGACGGGGAAGGGAAGTCGGTTTGGGTAGGACCGGAAAGTAAAGGAGTTTTTTATGGGATGGCTTTGACTTTCTCAGTGAAGAAGAATGATTCTTTGTTGAAGGGGAGGACCTGGGGGAGTGGAGAGGGGTAGGATGGGGGATAGGCAAAGGGACTTTGTGGTAGCAACCTGGAGGCCTGGGAGAGGCTGTAGACTAAAAGCAGAGACAAGTGCCCAGTAGCAGAGGGTGCAGCTGAGCTGGGGACTGTGGGTTGGTGATGCCAGATCTTGGGGATGGGCTTCTTTTCACTGATGGAGGAGGGAAGTTCAGAGTTTGGCTGAAGAAGCTGGAGGTTTATCCAGGTAGTGCAGACTACAGAGAAAGGATCAGAGAGGGAAGTCATGATCAAGTCCAAACTGGGAAGGAGTCCAAAGGAGGGTGGTGGGTAGGGAGAAAATGGAATAATCAGGTTCAAGACTGGGGTTAATGATGCCGCTGAGGAATCCATGTGATGACAGTGAGATGCTCAGAAATGGTCCTGAAGTTTAAGACCTCAGAGACGGAGCAGTTTAGGATCTAGAGCGGACCTCAGGCAGTCATGAGCAAAAAGAGTAACATGAAGGCTCATGGAGTTCAGCAGCTGAAGGAACACAAAGGGTGAGAGGTACGCGGACCATCTGTGCGGAGAATGCAGGTGCCTGGGGCGGCGAGGAGCCCCAAGACTCAGGCACCAGGGTGAATATGAGGCAGGGGTCAGGAGGTCAGCAAGTGGCGGGGGACCAGCGCTCTACCACAGCTGAGGGAGGGAGGCACGGTATAGCTGGATATATGAACCCTGGAGGATAGGCTAAAATCACAGCGATTAAAAGTGCAATCACTTCATAAAGCATTTTTTCATTTCAATAAATAACAGTCCGTTGAAGGTAGGTAGCTCGATTCGTTTATTAATTGCCCTATTGATGAGCATTTATGTTTCTGGTTTTCCTTGAACATAAAGCAATGTCAGCAGAAGCCACGTGCACGCTCAGTTGTGACTATCTGTAGGATAACTTGGAGTGGAACTCCTTGGTCAAGGGAGGGGTGAGTTCAGCTCACTTGTTTTACTTTGTCATGTGTTTTTAATCCTGAGATCTTTTTAATTCATGTCTTTTTAATTCTGAAATCTTTGGCAACTTGCCCTCCAAGAAGGGTGTCCTCCTTAGCTGATAACTGAGCAGCAAAGGACAGCTTTTCTGTTGTCTGCACAGTCGCCAACATAGAATGCTGTATCAAATATTTCAGTCTTTGCTAATTTGTCAGGCAAAAATGGCTTAACATTTCTATTCTTGTATTTCTTTAATTTGAGTGATGTTGAAGATTTTTCTCATATTTGCTGATTGACTTTTTTTTTGTGGTACTGGGGTTTGAACTCGGGGCTTGGTGCTTGCTAGGCAAGTGTTCTACCACTTGAGACACCCTCTGTCCTTTTGCTTTTAGCTTGTGTTTCAGATGTGATCTCTTGCTTTTACCTGGGCTGGCCTCAGACTACAATCTCTCCAACTTTCCCTCTAGGTAGTTGTTACTTGACTTTAAGAAAAAATATCACATCCCATACAGAATGCCAAATGGCTTTTTGTTATGATCACAGCATTCACATTCCAAGAGAATGAAAAAAATTTTTTTCCTTTCAGAATCAGAGGATGCATCAGGGTGTGGTGGCACATGCTTGCAATCCCTGCACTCAAGCAGCTGAGGCAGAAGGAGTGACAGTTATAGGCCAGCTTGGGTTACCTAGCAAGAGAGACCCTGTCTCAAAACAAACAGAATCAGGATGTGATTTTAGGGGATAGACGATGACGACATATCTCCCAGGTGCTCTCTGGTAGAGAAGCAGCAAAGTCCACTGTGAGTAAGGCTGCAGGCATTATAGTGTTCAGATCAGGCTTAGTGGAGTCAAGCAGGGCTGAAAACTTGGGGCTGCTGTTGTTCATAGCTGGGTTCTAGAGGGTGGAGTAGAACAGTGAGGCGGAGTGGGAGAACAACCAAGTAGGTGCTTGGTATGTGTGTGTGTGTGAGACAGAATGCTATCTTTGGTAGAGGACCATCAGAAGAAGGCTTTGTGCATTTAACTTGTCAAGATTCTGCCCAGGTTTGGGTGCAGTGGCCCACACCTATAATCCTAGCTATTCTAGAGGTAGAGATCAGGAAGACTGTAGTTTGAGGCCAGGCCAGGCAAAAAGTTTGAGAGAACCCATTCCAACAGAAAAAGCTGGACATGGTGGCCTGTACCTGTCATCCCAGCAATGGTGGGAAGCATAAATGGGAGGATCTTGGTCTAATCTGGCCCTGGCATAAAGTGTAACCTTGTCTCCAAAATAACTAAAGCCAAAAAGGGCTGGAGCATGGCTCAAGTGGTAGAGCACTTCCCTAGCAAGCACAAGACCCTGAGGTCAAACCCCAGTACAGCCCAAATGAAGAAATAAAGCCCTTTACCCTATTCCCAAACCTGCTCCAAGAAGCCTTCCCTGACTAGCTGTAAGGTGGTCTCTGTGAAGTCAGGAGATGGCTGGGCTCCTATGTGTGTATGTGTGTGTGTGAGTGCGTGTGTGTGTGTGTGTGTGTGTGTGTGTGTGTGTGTGAACTACTAGACCATGGATTCCTGAGGGGCAGGAATTTAATCCAAGGCCTCACAGGTTGGCAGATCCTTGGGAAACCCTCCAGAGGATTTTTGTGTATTTGTGGATGGGCTGCCTAGCACTGAGTGGGCTCCCAGAATTGGCCTGGGAATGTGGAGACAGGAAGAATCTGGTCAGCACTGGAGCGGCTGGAATGATTTAGGGAGGGGATGAAAGAAGTCCAGAGCAGGTGTGGGGCAGGCCTTGGAATGGGGAAATGTTGCTTAAGGGAACAGGGCCTGAAGCTTAGCCGAAGAGCCCAGACACTTTTTCTCTTTTGCAGTGGCCTCACCAAGGATTTCACTATTGAAGGAACCGTGGCCAGGGAGGGGCAGTGACTTGTCTGGGTGAGAAAGCACCAGCAATGCCCTGCTTCTTAGCCATCTCAGGGGGTGGGAGGAACTCCTTCAGAGCTCAGGTCATTGAGTGCAGACCCTGGGTGGTGGTGGGGGGGCTAAGAGTGAGGAGGGGTGATGACAGGAGCTGGTGGCAGGATATGGGGTAAGACTTGGAGGGCAAAGGAGTTGAGAATGAGCCCTGAGGGTTAAGGAAGCTGGAGTATGTATGTGTGTGTGTGTGCCCTCGTGCGTGCGTGCGTGTGTGTGTGTGTGTGTGTGTGTGTGTGTGTATAAGTTAAACAATAGCTCTCTTCCCCTCCCCCTTAGGGGTTTCTAACTGAAGTGGCAAACCAGGAAGGACATTCCATCCCTCCCTCCTCCACCCAGGACTCCCTTAAGGGCTTGGCAGGAGGTGACATCCTGACCAACTCATTGGGCGGGGCTAAAGGTGGACTAAAAGCTGACTTTGGGTCTGAGAGAATGGGGGGGGTGCAGAGGGTGTGGTAAATGTGTTGGTTTAGGAGCGAGAGGCTGCAAGAGTGAGCTCAGGTCACAATTTCGGCTCAGATTCCCTGCTCTAATGCAGGTTTATATAGCCTTCTCCACTCAATTCTGTCAGAGAAACTGCAAGGAATTGTTTGGTGGTGGCTTCAGGCAGGAGAGATGACTGCTGAGGACCTTGATGCAGGAAAATGAGAGTGGGGATGGGGAGTGTTGGTGAGAACGGAAGCACACACGCACAGATGCGCACACAGATGCATGTAAATGTGTGTCTAGCAACTCCCCTGCATACATACAGACTCCCACTGATGTGTGTTCACATGCATGTGTCTAGGAGTGTGGGCACACAGAAGTGTACCCACAGCCACAAAGCATCACAAATACACATAAGTGTCCTCTTGTTCTACAGGGACACATAAAATACCTGTGAGTAGGGGTTAGGGGATGCAGCCTCTGGGCTTTGGATGCCTATTTGAGTGGGAAGGGGAGAGGCCAGAAGTGTGTACTAGTTTCTATGGAAATGCGGTGTGTATGGGGACATAGCCAAGGTAACCAGTAGGTTAGGCCTATCACGGGATCAGATTACTCAAGAAGGAACTGATCTGCCCAGAAGCAACTGGATTTGGGAGAGGGCAAGTGTCAGGGAATGAATGCCATTCTGACTTCAGTATAGCCTGTGGGTGGGTTGGCCTCGACGCCTGAGCTGGAACGTTGCCTAGTCTCTTCCTGGGTGGCCTCTGCTGGCCTCAGGAATCTAGTGCCCTTTACCCCATCTCCAGGCTTGCCCCAGGAAGCCTTCACTGACCAGCTGTAAGGTGGTCTCTATGAGGTTGGAGATGGCTGGGCTCCCGTTCCCTACTGTTCTCTGTGGCCATCTGCCTGGCTTGGGGGCATCTGCCTACTGCATAGACAGAAAGCCTGGGCGGCGGCTGTGGGCGGCGCAGAGGAGGGCGGAAGGCGGCCCAGGAGGGGCCTAGGGCAGAGAAAGGTGGCCCGAGGCCAGCTCTGCCCCGCCCCTACCTGAGTGAGGCCAGCCGCCCACGCCCGAGGACGATAAAAGGGGCACAGTCTGTCCGAGGTCAGTGAGTTCGCGCTCCTGCTCACCCACCGCTAGGTCGCTAGGTCCTGCTGGGTTCAGCCACCATGTCCATCCACTTCAGCTCGCAGGCGTTCAGCTCGCGCTCCGCCGCCTTCCCGGGCCGCGGCGCCCACGTGCGCCTGAGCTCCGCACGCCCGAGCAGCTTAGGCAGCCGCAGCCTCTATGGCCTGGGCACCTCGCGACCGCGTGTGGCCGTGCGCTCCGCCTACGGGGGCCCAGTGGGTGCCGGCATCCGCGAGGTCACCATCAATCAGAGCCTGCTGGCTCCGCTGCGGTTGGACATCGACCCCTCCATCCAGCAGGTGCGCCAGGAGGAGCGCGAACAGATCAAGACTCTCAACAACAAGTTTGCCTCCTTCATCGACAAGGTGAGCAGGACAGGACCAAGTCCTGAGCCCCCTAAACTAGCCCCATTTACAGGGAGGCCAGGCGCTGGGAGGTCTGGCGCCCATCTCTTCCAACCAATATTGGGGCTGAGATCTCTGTGGCTTTATTCCTCCTGGTTAACTCCCATAACCCTTTTGTCCTCCTCAGTCTCTAGGCCCCCTGTCTCTCCCAGTACCCCGATGGCCCCTCCCTTCCCTCCAGGATTGCTGCCCAGGTTCTGTCTGGCTGCCCTGCTGGCTGTGTCTTAGCCTTCTAGGGCTCTTGAGCCAGTTTGGCACAGGTATCAGACTGGGAGTTCCAGATGAGGAGACACTGACTTCTTTAGAGGCTGTGGCCACAGAGGCGGATGCTGGAAATAAAGGCCTGGTGGGGCGGATCCCACTCCACCCATCCACCTCCTGCCTGGTCCTCCAGTGGGCCTTTGTTGGTAGGAGGTGAGGTTCCATTTGCCCTTGGAGATAGCCCTTTTGGGGACAGGAAGTGACACTGAGGGCCTTTGTAAGGACCTGTTTGGAAGGTGTTTTCCCTGGCCGTCTTTTCCTGTTACACAGGGGCTCCTGGGGATGAGGGGGCAGACTTGACTGATGGGTCTGAGAGAAGGGGGGCTAAGTGGAACAGTACCCAGGAACTAAAGGCCAATGAAAGGGGTGCTGATGACTGAGATCAGTGAGTTTGGGCTCCTCCTTGCCTGTTGCTACTAGGTCCAGCTGGGTTTAGTCACGATGTCCATCTGCTAGGCCCTCTGACCAGGGCCTCCTCCCTTGGGCCTTAGTGCCCCACTCCCCAGGTCCTCCTGCCATTACCATTCAGTCTTACACATCCTTCACATTTGGCTGAAGTCTCCCCCAGGTGACTCCCAAGCCCAGGTTCCTGCATCATCTTTGTGTCTGCATCCCAGGTCTGGTGCCTGAGATACTAGTAAATGGAGGCCTCTCCTCCCTCCCACCCGCAGGCGTACTGGGTGCTCCTTCAGGGCCTTTTTAGGTCCCAGGGCAGGGCTCATAGAAGGTGCTCCTTCTATGATTGTGGCACTCTGCCTTGAGGCCTTGCTGGAGGAAGGAAGAGAGGTGTAAGCCTGAAGGGAGGAGCCAGCCCAGTCAGCCTCAGCCCCAGAGAAAGGAAGTGGCTCTTCAGAGTGTATGTGTGGGGTAGAGAATTTGATGGGGAGAAAAGGAGGTGGAACCCTGACAATTTGTAGACCAGGCTCCCTGGCTCACACTTGACTTTCTTGAAACAGAGTCCTAGAGGAGAGGGGCAAACACGGGGTGCCCTAGTCAGGGGACCAGCCAGTAGGAGCATGGGCTAACCTGTGGTGGTGGCAGGAATTGTCTTCTCAAGACTGTCCTCCTCCATGGCCCTTCCAGGTGCGGTTCCTGGAGCAGCAGAACAAGATGCTGGAGACCAAGTGGGCGCTGCTGCAGGAACAGAAGTCAACGAAAAGCAGCCGCCTCCCCAGCATCTTTGAGGCCCAGATTGCTAACCTGCGGGGACAGCTTGAGACACTGCAGGTGGATGGGAGCCGCCTGGAGATGGAGCTGCAGGGCATGCAGGATGTGGTGGAAGACTTCAAGAACAAGTAATGCTCCAGTGCCAACTTTAAGGATCTTTGGTCCTGGAACAATATGCCCCTCATCCACTGACCCTCTGAAAGTCCCCCTGGCTCAGGGGTTAGAGTGGACAGCTATTGGTCGAAATAACTCCCTGACATATGGCCTTCACCCACAAAATCTCTGCCTCTCCTCTCCTAGCTTGGCCCCTGGAGCCTGTTTTCATGTCATTCTGGCTTTTTCTCCTGACTCAATTGGGAGAAATATCTTAGTCCACCCTTTGTGTGCCTGAGCAAGGCTTCAGAACCTTAGGGATCATACACAAAAGGTGTCCTATGACAAGAGCGCTTCAGAATGTGTACACCCCTCACAGATCATTCTAAAACAGCTTCCTTTCATGCAAGTAAAGAATTGGAGACCAGAGAGACCACAAAGTAGGACACTGGGACTTGAATTTTCAGTCCCTAACTTCCTAGAGGGACAAGAAATTGTGTGGGAAGGAGAGAAGCAAGGAGGGGGAATGGTCAAGGTGAACGATGGGCATGGGTGCTGAGACTGACGGGGTCTGGTCAGGGCAGATCTAGGAAAGGAGCTACAAGGGGGCAGGAAGGCTGGGGTTGAGGACAGGCCTTTGAAGGCTCACTGAGCTCTTCCTCCCCCCTCCACCTCCACACCAAATAGAAATCAAAGCCTGAGGCTTAGGTTGGGCCTCACCCTGGCACACCTGCCAGTGGGCCTTGGGGGCTGCGAGTTTGCTTTGTGCTCTTCCTGTGGTTGTGTGACTAAGCGGGAACAGGCACCCTGGTGCTAAGTGGAGGAGAGCAAACGGCCTCTGTGGAGTGTCCCCCACCTGTTACTCCCTAGGGCAAAAGTCAACAGATTAATCCCACAGCAGGTGGAACTGGACAGGTGCAGGGCAGGGAAGCCTAAGGTAACCAGCCAGCTCCTGCTGTCAGGAGCTCAGGGTGTACATGTGTGCATGTACACCCCACACCCATGTCCTCCCACCCAAGGTTCTCAGAGCACCTTCTGGTGGAGTCAGGCTGAGTCCCAGGCCAGAGCTAAAGGAGGGGCTGGAACCAGTGGGCACAGGGAAGGGGCCCTGGACTCTGCTGCTTGCGGAGCTCCAATCTGTATACCCTCTGAGCTCAGCAACACAATGCAGAAGCAGGGCTGGACAGAGAGCTTCATGGATATTTCCACAGCTTCTATAGGACCTAAGTGCAACTTTTGGGTACAGATGCCCTGAGCCCGGGCTCCTGAGGGACTCGGCTTGAGTGGCTATCCTGCTCCCCAACAGCTCCACCCAGGCTGCTTCTGCTGCTCTCAGTATAAGAGCCCTGCTGAGCTCTTATTTCCTACACCTATATTTGAGTTTTCACATAAACCCTGGGTCAGGCCAACATGCCTTTCTGCCCTGTTTGTCATTTCTTCCTAAGGCGAGGGGCTGGCTCCTGGGGAAGAAGCAGGATTTGGGAGGGATGGGAGCTGGGCCCTCCAGCTGGGGTCTGGTTCTTCCAGGACTTTGTACATCCTCCATCCTGCTTCCACACAAGCTTCCTTCCGCCCTCAAGTCCAGGCTTTGCCCCTTAGCAGCTTAGTAACTTGAGCAGGTCATTCTGTCCCTCTGTGCCTCTGTTCGTATCTGATAATCACAGTACCATCATTGCAGGATTGTTGTGAATGTGAACTGAGTTAATGTACAGGAAGTACACACCAGCACAGGACCATAAAGCGGTCCCTCGGCATGGCTGGTATTTTCCCTTTCCCCTAGTAGATTATAGCCTTTGTTCTTTAATTCACATTTGTTTCCTGCACTTTTCCCCCTCCATGCCAAGACTCAAAGCCCTGGAATTAGTCATGTAAGTTTTGTAGCTCTGATAGCGCTGACACCTGTTTTTTCAGGTGTGTCATTTAAGGAGGGGAAAAAGGGAGGTTTTATATCTGAATATAGGGACTTGGAGGCAAAGCTGCACCAACACCACACCCCGTCCCCTATTGCAGGTATGAAGAGGAAATCAACCGTCGCACAGCTGCTGAGAATGAGTTTGTGGTGCTGAAGAAGGTAAGGGCAAACAGGCTAGAGGGTGGTGTCTAAAAATATATGGGACAGGGGACTATGGGGCCCTCTCACCTGAGAAGCTGCTTAGGATCTGTGGCCGAGGTCTGGCCTGGGCTGCACAAAGGAGTAACACATCTCTCTCTCTCTCTCTCTCTCTCTCTCTCTCTCTGTATTATGAGTGAATAGACTTGTTTCCAGGCCTGAAGGGTTAGAACTAAGCTCTCTGAGGCAGGGTGAGTGCGCTGCCTTGGGGACACTCAAGTAGTTTGGGAGGCCTTAGGAACATCTTAGAGGGCTTTGAGCTACACGCCCTTTAAAACTCTGAGTTCACTTCACACTCACTGAAACCCTCAACATTCCAGGCCTAGCCATGGAAAGGCAACCTGCCCCGGAGTGCTGGGCCCTTGGCAATTCAGGGATGAGGAAGAGAGCTGACCTTGCCCACAGGAATTTAACCCAGGAAGTGTAGCCTATTCACTTGGGCTATTACGCATGGCCCTCCTGCCTTGGAGTTGCCCTATCTTCAATGGGGACAGAGAAGTCCCATTTTTGGGAAGGCATCTGGGAATGTGAGTGACATGCTTTCTGGTGGACTGAAGGAGCAGCTGAGGTTTGCAGAGCAGAAGTGATTTGTTCCAGGGCACACAGCCAGTCCATGGTAGAGCCAGAGGTGCATCTAAACCATGAAGCTGCCAGGAATTGGTCAAGTTGTAGGTTTGAGGCTTTAGGCTGCTCTGGGCTGGGGACCTGTGGAAATGATGGCCACCTAGCAGGCAGCCTGAGGGGCCAGTGGAGGGAGCTCCTGTGTAGCTGTATGAGGCACCCTGGAAAAAGTGTTTCTTGATAGGCCAAGGGTGTTTGGCCCTGGGGGTTGGACTGGGCCGGCTTGCTCCCATCACTACTAAATACTCCTTGTGCTGAGGACTTGGTGCTCCCTGCCTTCTCCCCCACCCACCACAGGATGTGGATGCCGCCTACATGAACAAGGTGGAGCTGGAGACCAAGGTGGACAGCTTGAATGATGAGATCAACTTCCTCAAGACCCTCAATGAGACGGTGAGGACCTCAGAGTGGGTGACATGTTACCTCCTACACATACTAACCAGGAAGCCATCTGGCTCAGCCTCTTGTCTCTGGGCCAGTCTGGGTGTGTTTTGAGGGTGGGGTCATTATCCTGCTCTTTATCCTTTCTGGACTCAGGAATCCATGGTGGGCTAAGGGATCAGGAGGTGGTGGGTGCAGAGAGGGTGGGGTCAGTCAGGGCTGGTCTTTGGGGGGCATGGGGTGATCACCAGCATTTGTCAGGTAGAGGGTTGGATGGGTTGACAGGAGCCAGGAGGAAGTCAGAAGATCCCAGGCCCCGACAGGATTCGAAGGTGCACAAAATGCACTGGGTGGGTAGAGGGGAAGAGAGCCCAGATCAGAAGAGATGGGGTGCCTGAGAGTTTACACCCAGAGGGTCTGGGTGTGTGTCCATCCACCAACTAGCTACTCTTCTGACCACACTTCTCTTCTCATTCTCAAACTCTCTCTCTCTCTCTCTCTCTCATCCTTATCTTATTGGGCATCTAACTCTTTTCCCTCATGGGGATTTAAAACCTTTCCATTCCCATGGGTGTGGCTTTCTGGCCTTAGGCAGGAGATAGGTCACTTGGCAGAAGCTGAGCCGGCCTAAGTACACACGAGTTCTCAATTCTATTCAGCACAATCTTTGCCTGAATACCCATGTCCGTGGGCATTCAGAGCAAAGGTCTTATATGCATGTGAACTTCAGGGATCCAGGCCTCGAGGTGTTCAGACAATCTCAGCTCAGCAGGTTTCCTATGCCTGGCCCACGCTATGTGTATGTATGCTATATGAGCATACATCTGTACCCTGCATTTATGTCTGTGTACATATGATGTATAGTTGTTTCTTCTCATTGTGAAAGTAATGCATACTCCTTGCAAAAAGTACAGAAAAATCAGTTATACCCTCTGCTGACATCTTCATCTTGAACGTTCCAGACTTTGTACACATGGCGATATAGACGTGTATTTTTATAAAAAATAGTCATGTCTTCTATCCTGTAGCAGTGTTCCATGAGCATGCCTCCCTGCCTATAAATACAGCTGGATCCCCCGTTTTAAAGAGTGTGAAGGACTCCATCATAGGATGGGGTACGATTTGCTTTACACCCCCCAGGCTTATGCTCCAAGGGACCTCACAGAGGAACCATCACAGAGCACTACACTGTCACTTTGCTTCCTTTAATCCTACTAGACTCTGCTATCTGACACACTGGGAGCCAGGGGTGAGCAGTTCAGTGCGTACTGGGTCTGCATTCCTGTCTGGCCATTTAGGCCACCCCAACCTCCTTGTTCTTTTCTTTTTTTGGGGGGGTGGGGACCCAGGATGGGTGTGGGCACAGGGATAGATCATGCCCCATTCACGATGTTCCGTCTGGTCCCTGCAGGAGCTGGCAGAGTTGCAGTCCCAGATTTCAGAAACATCTGTGGTCCTTTCTATGGATAATAGCCGCTCCTTGGACCTGGATGGCATCATTGCTGAGGTGAAGGCCCAGTACCAGGAGATGGCCAATCGTAGCCGGGCCGAGGCTGAGACCTGGTACCAGACCAAGGTGTGTGGCTGTTGAGGGCATGGTTCCTGCTCCTGCCATGGCACTTTGTGGTAGCTTCCCTTCCTGCTCACCTTGTCTGGGGCCTTCAGGACCTGGCAGGCTGTACCCTCTGGAGCCCAAGAAGAAGAGGACAAAAAGCCCAGGTCCATCCCAGGTCCCTCCCCTGGGAGAGGTCCCAGGCTGATCAGGGGACTGGATGGGGGAAATAGACATGCATTAATAATTTGGCAAGTACTTAGTTCTAAGCATAGTTTCAATACTGATGCAGACATGGCACACTTACCTAGAGCTTGGTGGTATCTTTCTGCCTCTATTGACTTATTTAATCCACAGAGCTCTATCAGGTGTGTAGCATTATGATCACCATTTTTAGAGATGAGGAAATTGAAGCACAGAGAGGTTAAGTAAGTTCTAACTTCACCCGGCTAGGAGATGGAAGAGTAGGAACTAGATCCTGAAACCCAGGACTCCAGACCTGGAGGCTTAATCATGCCACATTCTTCATGGAGACAGGACAGCCCAGGGAGGATGGTACTGAAGGAATACAAGGGGGTTCAGACCCTTGTGCTACCATTGATTTGCTGTGGGATTTCTGTTGGGTGCTCCCCTCCTCTGGACTTGCTCTGTGCATCTGTGATATGGGTGGGGCTGGGGGAAGACTATTGAACAGGCGAGTGTCTCAGACTGGCCAGCACTAAGTAAGAGTGAGAGGGCTCCCAAGAGACTTCTCTCTCTTCCCTGTCCTGGCTAGGAGGGGACTGAACCCTTTTCCATCCCACTGCCCAATAGTCTGGTCTCTGGGCATTCGGTAGAGATGGCTGGGAGGTAGACTGTCCTCCCCTGGAAATATAGGTTGGGAGGGACTTGGTTGAGGAGAGGGACCTGTCACCTATAATCATTGCCAACCCTCTGTCACATTTCTCTGTACGGCCCTTCCAGTTTGAGACCCTCCAGGCCCAGGCCGGGAAGCATGGAGATGAGCTCCGGAACACCCGGAACGAGATTGCAGAGATGAACCGGGCCATCCAGAGACTGCAGGCTGAGATCGACAACATCAAGAACCAGGTGGGGATGAAGCACCCTCCCCCCACACTTCCCCCTGTTCCTGGGGTATGAGATAGGCAACCAACAAGGCCAAAGCTCAGGGTGAGACTGGGAGGCTGGAGGTGAGAGTGCCATCCTGCCCTCGCTGGGCCAAGGCTGGTGCAGCTCACATCTCTGGCCCACTGGTAGAATGGTTTTGGCTACATGCTGGTTTGAGGCCAGAGGAAGAAGAGTCCTGGCTGGGCAGAAAGCCCTTGAAAGGGATCTCAGGCTGGCCAGCCAGAGAAGAACCAGCCTTTTCACCACACTGGCACCAAAGGCTCTGCTTGTACCTAGCTCTGGAGGCAGTGTGGAATATGTGGGAGCTCTCAGTTACAAGGGAGACTGAGGCCAGTGGAAATCCTTTCCAAGACTCATAAGCTCTTCCCATTCCTGACCTCGCCTCCCACAGCTCTCCTCCCTGTGCTTGGGACACCCTGGCCTGCTTGCTGGTTCTTGCATTTGCCAAGCATGTGCTTGCTTTTTGGATCCTTATTTGGATCCAGCTGGCTTTCTTTCCAACTGGCATGTGAGTTCTCCCAGCTCCGTCCACAGCTATCCCTTTCTCATCCCTGGGGTTTAGGACAAAAGACCCCTTCTGAGTGATGCCAGCAGTCTATCTGGAGTTCTTTAAAGCATCCATTACTCTGACATGTTCTGTCTGATTGTTAAGTTATATGCTGTCCCCATCCCCACTGGAAAGCACAAGTGTCTTGAGAGTAGGGGTCCTTCTTCATTAGTCCTCTCTTCCAGCATGAGTGGGGCACAGGTCTTAGACAAGAGGGTGACTTCAAGGATGTGCTCTGCTGGAAGCTGAAATTGGGGAGTGTTAATGAGAGAAGGGTCTCCCAAGTCTGGCTGAGGCACAGGTGTGGATGGGGCAACTCACCCTGAGCAGGTGTCTACAATGAGAAGTGAGGGTAGGTGACACATGCAGCAGTTTCAGAAAATGTGTTTTCAGATGAGCTGGGGGATGGGTTGTAGGAGTGGTTTGTCCAAAAATGTCCTCCCCTCTGGCCCTACAGGCTTGTTTACACAAGGGCAGAGGCTGCCTTCTGGCACGGATGCAGGACCATGAATCGGCCATAAATCGCCCCTGAAACAGAACAGCCTCCAGGCCAGGAGGGGAGGCTCAGAATAATGAATGGAGGTTTCCCAGACCTTGTAGCCTCCACCACATCCAACTCTGCTCTCACACATGGGGCAGAGCTGCCAGGCTCCAGAGGCAGGGTACTTGTCACCATTGAGGGCCTCAGTAGGGCCTGGGAGGGCCTTCAAGGTGGCAGGATGGTTCTGGCCTAGGGAGTACCAGTGTGACAGGACAGGACACTGAGATGTGGCCATGGGGAAGAGAGGAAGGGGACTCAACTGAGGAAAGAGAGTGGTCTATGAGGAGGGCAGAGGAGAAGCTCTGGGCAGCGGATAGAGATGGCAGTTCTCTGAGCTGAACAAGAGGAGGTCTGGAATGAAACAGCTCCTGGCAGTGGGTATGTTTGTCAGCTCTCCACCCTGTGACAATATACCGTAGAAAATCAACTTAGAAGTAGAAAGATTTGTTTTGGCTCATGGTTTTAGAGGTTTTAGTATGTGGTTGCTTGGTGCCATTGTTTTTGGCCCATAGCCAGGCAGAACATCACAGCGAGGAGCACATTGTGGAAAAAATTGCTCATCTCATGGAATCTAGGTAGCAAATAGAGAAGGGTCTAGGGACCCCATATCTTCTTCAAGATCACACCCTAATGACCTAACTGTCTTCTACTACTAAGCCCCACTTTCTAAATGCTCCACCATCTCTCAATAGTACCATCAGCTGGATACTAAGCCTTCAACACGTGTCTCTTGGGGGATATTCAAGATTCAATTCATAAGGGTAGGGGAGGAAACAAAAGTAAGGAGCAGGTGCTCAAGGCAGATGTAGGTCCGTGGAACTGGACTATCCCTACCCCAATCAACAGCCTGTGAGGTCACACATCTTGTGGCATCTTGGACAACTGGTGGGGTCTCTTCTCCAAGTCCCCTGTTATAGGCCTGGTACCAGCTGGTTCATGTCTTAAAGTCAGTTTCTGGTTTTTGTCATCTGCCTGGCATTCAGGCACTCAACCAGGATCCCTTGGCCTTGGAACACCTCCAACTGGGGCTGGACAACTGGGGACTGCAAATCATGGTAGCATTTATTAATAATTGTAATCAACTTATTAAGTACTTAGAGCATGCTAGACATTGTGCCAAGACTTCTTGTGTCTCATTTCATCCTTGCAATATCTCTATGAGATAGACTACTGCTCTTTCAGAGAAGAGGAGACTTTGGCTTGGAAGGATCCATTCATCCAAGTCTAACATAGCTAGAAAGCAGCAGAGCCAGAACTGGAACCTACATATTGGATCTCCCAGTCCATTTGTTTAACCCTTAGGATTCCCTTGCTAGAGTGGACAATGCCAGTGAAGCCACCTTAAGCAAGCTGTCCAGGTGCTCACTGCAGGATGCGTCAGCAGGAAGGCAGTGGCTTTGGGCCCTAACCCCCACCCCAGCTCATAGCTCATTGCTGCCCACAGCGTGCCAAGTTGGAGGCCGCCATCGCCGAAGCTGAGGAGCGTGGGGAGCTGGCACTCAAGGACGCTCGCACCAAGCAGGAGGAGCTGGAGGCTGCCCTACAGCGGGCTAAACAGGACATGGCACGACAGCTACGCGAGTACCAGGAGCTCTTGAACGTCAAATTGGCTCTGGATATTGAGATTGCCACCTACCGCAAGCTGCTAGAGGGCGAGGAGAGCAGGTGAGGGATGGGAAGCTAGACAGAGGATCCTGGGGTTCAGGGGGGTCCAGGTTTGACACTCATCCATCTGCAAGCATTTCCTGTGGCCCCTCCTTTGCAGGGCACAGGGGCAGGAGGTACAGGGTGCGTAGAGCTGATGCTTCCTGCTTATCTGTCAAAGGGGTGACTTTCTAGAAAGAAAGGCCACATGTTAAGCCCCTTTCTATGTGGGGCCTTTATCAGGGGATCTTGTTTGATTTCCAACACACACTTGGGGAAGCAGGTCATGGAGTATTGACTCCATGGTCTGCAGAGGGGAAAGGTGGAGTTTGGTTTTATTCATTGAGGGAACAAGGCAGTGTGAGGGCAAGGCCTGCTGATTCCTGGTCCAAGAAACCTGCATGACATTGGCTGCTTCTCACCGCATAACTCAGCAAAACCATGTGGTACTGAGTGTTCACTTCCTCTGTCCCCAGAAATATTTGCATACTCACCTGTCAGAGAGGAAGCTAGGAGGGGTTAGTCCCATAGGATATTCTTAGTGAAGGACATGGTACCTCCACCTATGAAGTTAGGCCTTTGTTCTCATGTTGTTGGGGTGATTATTTCTGCCAACAGATGTGGCTTTAGAGTTGCGCCTTGGGGAAGGTTAGGATTTGGAGAGTGAGAAGCAACAGTGTGGGCAAAGGCCACATCACCATAGTTGGCTTGTTAGAACCCAGCACAGAGATAGGTAATGTATAAGACATGCTTCTGCTTCAGGGAGGGTGCACTTTAGTTGAGCCAAAATATTTTCAAGGGAAGTATTTCAAGGGAAGCATTTTTAAAATGCTGAATTGATGAAAGAACTTTTTCTTTTCTGAGTATTATTCCTGAGGGGCAATGGGTGAGGAAAGAAGATGGATGGATCCAAGAGGAAGTGTGTGGGAAAAGAGGGTGTGAGAGCCTGGAAGCTGGGAAGAGGGTGGGAAGAAACACGGTAATGGTATGTGAGTGGGGGGATGGAGGAAGTGTCTCTTTTCTACGCTTGACCTGCCCCTCCCTGAGTGGGCATTCAGGCTTTGAGGGAAGAGAAACTGAATATCAAAAGCCTCTGGGAAGAGAAAAGCTGACCTGAGGCACAGAGTAGCTCTAGCCAAAATGCCTCTCTCTCTCTCTCTCTCTCTGCAGTCTCCTCTCCCCTGGGTCTGGGGGCTCCATTTTCTTAGGAACTCATATCCTGAGTCTATTTCTCACAAAAGTCAGAGTTTGATATGGGTCGATGAGAAGACTGAGGCTCAGAGATGGTGAGGGGTACGCCTCAGGTCACTCAGCCAACGGAAGCATCCCCTCCCGAAATCCTAATCTCAGTCAGGGTTGCTACAGTTAGGCTTTGGTACTGGTTCCCAGAGAGAAGAGTGCTTTCCCTACCCTTGTGTCCCTTAGCCTCTCAGCCCTTCCCAGAGCAGATCCAGGATCATGGTCCTGAAACTCAGACAGTTAGGGTGGGGGATCATTTCTTTGAGAATACAAAATTACAAATGCAGAAGAAGGCACTTGAGATAAGAAAAATCACACAAATCACTAAAGTTGAACATTCAAGTCTCTTCCTTTTGAGTTCTTTAGATATTGAATCAGAAACTCTTAATATAGCATTGCATCTTGACTACAACCTGTCCTTGTTCACCACAACTTCTAGCAACTCCCAGCACTGCAGGCGCCATTTGAACAAACATTCTGGAAGCTTCCAGAAAACCTATCTTTTGTCCCTTCCCTGTTTTGCAGCTGCTGAGGCCAGCTGAGCTTTCCTCACTCCTTTCCTGCTGAGAACAAACTGATCCTCCAGGCCAAGGGCTTGGTAACAATGGGGTTGTGAGTCACAGGACAAACATACCCAGCTGCCAAAGATGGATTTTTAATTTCCACTGCAAGACCTGTTTCAGCCCACAGGCTGCTGAAAGCCACCCCACCTACCACCCCATCTCAGTCCTGACTGGAGCGGCATTCAATCAGTCAACAATTCACTAATTATTTCAACACCTATTAAATACAACTAGTTCCAGGCCTCATGCTAGGGGTGCAGACACAGGATTCAGTAGGCAATGTTAAGGACTTTATGGTTTGATGAGGGAAGGCAGACACATCCATAAATAGTAAGTACAGCTACTGTTTGCCAAATCCTGGGCACGCAGGGCTTTTAGGTAAATTATATTATTTAAGCATCACAAATGAGCCTTTGACCTTGGTCCTGTAGATAGGCACAATTACAGATGAGAAACAAAGCGCTGGGATGGGACCCTCCCTATGCCCTGTGGCCAGGAGGTAGAAGTGTCTAAGTGAATCCCACCCCCCCCCCCCCCCACCCCCGCTGCTCCCTCCTCTTCTGTCATTTTGCAACAAGCTGAGGGCAGGCTGGAAGTGCGGGAGCAAGAAGGAAGGGACAAGCTGGGTGCTAGTGGCTCACTCTTATAGTCCTAGCTACTTGGGAGGCTGTGATTGGGAGGATCACGTTGAAAGGCCAACCCAGGAAAAAAGTTTTCAAGACTATCTGAACAGAGAAAAGTTGAGTGTGATGGCACATGTCTGTCATCCCAGCAAATGTAAGAAGCATAAAATATGAGGATTGTGGTCCAGGCTGGCCTGGGCAAAAAGTAAGACTATCTCCAAAATAACTGGAGCAAAAACATCTAGAGTTACAGCTCAAGCTGTAGAGTGCCTGCCTAGCAAGTGTGAAGTCCTGAGTTTAAACCCTGGTATGGAGAGAGAGAGAGAGAGAGAAGAGAGAGAGAGAGAGAGAGAGAGACATACACACACACACACACACACACATGAGAGGGAGAGAGAGAGAGAGAGAGGGAGGGAGAGAGGGAGAAGGACCTTGCCTGGGGCCTGGAAGGGGGTTGCTTGTCCCCAGTGTTGGTTGAGGTAAGAGCTGTTCTCATAGACCTGTCCTCTGCCCCCAGGTTGGCCGGAGATGGAGCAGGAGCCGTGAATATCTGTAAGTCCTTGGCCACCACCCTGTGTTGTACAGATCAGGCTGGGTTTCCAGAAGAACAGATTGGCCCGGAGGCCCTCCTTGTGGTGTTGGGAGCCTCCTTCCCTTTTACAATGCTGGTAGATTCCCTGGAGCTCAGGTCTAGCTCAGCAACCACAGCAGCAGTGCAAGAACATGGGGTGGGGGTGGGGCGCTGCTACAAGCTTCTTTTGGGTTGTTTGATGGAGGGGTCAGGAAGGGCAGGCAGGCATGAGGGAGAGGAGTGAGGGTGGGGTAGAGTAGATGGGGTCCCTGTGGGGGAGCTCATCCCAATGGAGTCTCCTCCCTTCTCTCCCAGCAGTGGTGAATTCCACTGGGGGCAGCGGCAGTGGGCTGGTCTTCGGGGGAACTATGGGCACCAATGCCTTGAGCTTCTCGAGCTGCAGGGGGCCTGGGACCTTCAAGGCCCATTCCATCAGAACCACATCCACCACCCGCCGGAGCACCTACAACTGAGCCACAGGCGTGGAGAAACCCCTCACTTCTGCCCACATCCCAGGAGGATCCCTACTTCCTGTCCCTGTCCCAAAGCAGCAAGACAGCCTGAAACTGGTATCAGGCTGAACAGCTTCAATAAAGAGCCTTTTGGAGGCCCAGGGGAGCCCCATGCTGGCGCCTGGCATCCTGGCTTCATTAGGCTGGGCAGGGAGGGGTGAGGTCAGGTACCAGAGAGGGCAGGATCTGCCCTGATAACTAGGAAGGAAGCCTCTGGTTCAGGAGGCTGAAGGGTGCTGCTCTAGAGGTGGGACCTTTATCCAGGGTGACACCTTGGCCTTCTCCCAGGGCTGGGGCTGGTCTTAGTATTCTCCTGGAGTTGCTCAGAAAGGCCACAGAGACTGCAGGCTCTGCTAGCACATGGGCTCTGAAGTTCTTCCTTGCCCAGGGTTGGCAGGGCTGTTTGCACCCCATGCCTTCTGCTGCCACAGCACGTTCTTTTTTTTTTTTTATTGTTTTATTATTCATATGTGCATACAAGGCTTGGCTCATTTCTCCCGCCTGCCCCCACCCCCTCCCTTACCACCCACTCCACCCCCTCCCTCTCCCCCCCACCCCCTCAATACCCAGGAGAAACTATTTTGCCCTTATTTCTAATTTTGTTGTTGAGAGAGTATAAGCAATAATAGGAAGGAACAAGTGTTTTTGCTGATTGAGATACGGATAGCCAAACAGGGAGTTGACTCACATTAATTTCCTGTGCGTGTGTGTTACCTTCTAGGTTAATTCTTTTTGATCTAACCTTTTCTCTTGTTCCTGGTCCCCTTTTCCTATTGGCCTCAGTTGCTTTTAAGGTATCTGCTTTAGTTTCTCTGCGTTGAGGGCAACAAATCCTAGCTAATTTTTTAGGTGTCTAACCTATCCTCATATCTCCCTTGTGTGCTCTCGCTTTTATCTTGTGATCAAAGTCCAATCCCCTTGTTCTGTTTGCCCTTGATCTAATGTCCACATATGAGGGAGAACATTCGATTTTTGGTCTTTTGGGCCAGGCTAACCCCACTCAGAATTATGTTCTTCAATTCCATCCATTTACCAGCGAATGATAACATTTCGTTCTTCTTCATGGCTGCATAAAATTCCATTGTGTATAGATACCACATTTTCTTAATCCATTCGTCAGTGGTGGGGCATCTTGGCTGTTTCCATAACTTGGCTATTGTGAATAGCCACAGCACGTTCTTAATAGGGAGAAGGCCACACACGTTTGGCTGCCCCAGGCCCCGGCTTCAGGTGACCCAGCCAACTCTCATGCCAGCTGCCCACAGGCCTTGTTGGTGATGGGTGTGCTATCTTTGGACCCCCAGATGGTGTATATCTAGGTACTTGGGAGTTCTCTGAACCTGGGACTCTCTGAGGATGATGGCCATGGAGGGAGGTTTGTCTGTGTATGGGAAGGTGTTCCAGAGCCTAGGTCCTGGTGGGGGCTCTTTGCCTGGATCCTTGGGCAGAGGAATGGGCTGGGCTGTGTCTGAATCCCTGGGGAGAGAAGGCAGAGGAGGATATCTGTGTGTTATGCTTAGGCTTCCTGGGGATGTTGCAACATGTCAGAATCTCCAACCTGGGGTTTGTTGTCTGTCACTGTTTGGGGGCTTTGTGTCAGGACAGCAGCACATCTGATGGGTCCTGGGGAAATGACAGGAGGTCTCTCTTGGAGTTGGGACCTCCAAGTACAGTGGTGGTAGTATAGGGGGTTAAGAAAGCTGGGGGATTAAGAGAGCATCAGGACATGTAGGTTTTGGGAGACATCTATATATTTGATCCCATGGCAGGAAATTTTGAGCTAGGGGCAGGTTGTGGGGTGGAGGAAGCAGACCAATGGTGTCACAGCAGCTGCAAGTGATAAGGTCCCCTACTGGGCATGTCAGGAGATCCAGGCCCTTTTCCTCCTGGATAGAGTTCTTCCTGCTGTCCTCCAGATCCTCCTCCTGGTTCTGTGTGTCTGGCTTTGGGGGCGCCTGGCCCATCCCTATGCACTGCAGCATGTAGTGTGTACAGGGAAGTGGCAGGCTGAGAACAGTTCCTCTGGACAGTGTAACATGGACAGCAAGGCCAAGCCGGCAGTAAAAAGAGCACATCATATGTGACTGTGAGCTTTATTGGAACATAAAGATCAAGCAAGAGGGAGGAGAGGGAGCCCAGGCAGGGGGCTTGGCCCCCTGGAAACTGAAAGGCAGTCTATCAGCATAGCTGGATTTGGAAGGTGGAGGAGGCAGAGTGCACAAGAGCCCTGGGACCAATCTGTTCCTCAGAATCCCTATTAGGAAGTGGATCTTTGCCAGGACAGCAAGGATACTGGTCATTTAGACACTTGGGGATGGGCAAATGCTACCAGACCTGCGTCCCAAGACCCCAGCCTTTCCTAGAAGAGACAAGTGCTGATGGAGAGGTGAGACAGGTGCACGGCAGTGTGGACAGGTCAGGCAGCAGGTGCCTGCAGCCCTTCCGCCTCAAGTCTGGAGATCCGCGGGGCCTCGGGAGCGCCACGGAGGCGGGGACTGTGGCTGGGGAGCGGCATTTTACAAAGCGGGGTGGAGGGACGGCGATTCCGGGCGTTATGCGAATCGTACAGAGCGAACGCTGCCACTGCCCTGGCCGCAGGGCGCGCACAAGCCGGTGTTCACTGCTATGTTGCCGCTGCACGGGGCACTGCAGGTGCTGCCTGTCACCGGCCGGGAGCCCGACACGCAAAGGTCCCCGCATACGACCCCGCCCCGGGAGCTGCTGACACCTGCGGGAAGAGGAGAGGTTTAGCCCCCGTGCGAGGTGGCCTTGGCGACCCCTATCTGCTGTCCAGAGCTCCCCTGATCTAGCTCTGGGGTCGGCTTCTCTCCTCTCCTGGGCTCCTTCTTGTGTAACCTCAGGCCTGCCCCAGGCAGAAACAGCCACTGGAATTATCCTACTCTCACCACCCGCCCCCCACATCTGTGAGCCGAGGCTACCGCTGGCTTCCTGTTTTGTAAATAAAGTTTAAGAGGAATCCAGTCATACTTAATATTGTCTATGGCTGTGGCTGCTTTCACGTTATGATAGAGTTGAATAGTTGAGACTGCTTGGCCTAAAATATTTACTGTCCGACCTTTTAAGAAAACCTTTGCCCATTGGGACCCCAAGCCATTATTTCAGAACCCACGGTGGAGATTACTTACATACATTCACAGCACCAATGCCCTCACACAACCTTAAGGGGAGAAAAACAGACAAAAATTAGTTGGGGAAGGCAAATTCCCCCCACTAAGTAATGTTGATGCAAATTAGATGCAAATAATATGCAAGCACACTCCTGGGCTCTGGAAGCACTGCTGAACTACTTGGGAGAATGAAGAGGTAGTCTGCCCACAGGTGCGGCCTCACCTCTGCTCCTCGCCCTCCAGCAGGCGCCTGTAGGTGGCGATCTCGATGTCCAGGCCCAGTTTGGAGTTCATCACCTCCTGGTACTCCTTCAGCAGGCAGGCCATGTCCTGTTTGGCCTTCTGCAGGGCGCTCTCCAGCTCGGCCAGCTTGCAGCGGGCATCAGTGAGGGCTGCCTCGCCCTGCTGCTCTGACTGGGTCACCGCGGCCTCCAGCTTGGTGTTCTTGGGAGATAGGAGAAGGTTATTAAGGTCACCCTGCTCTGTGCCCAAGGTCTAGATATCAGGAGGGACCTTACTCATTTGTTAGGTCAGGGCAAATTAGGGCTCCCAGAGAATGATGGCATAGTGTCTTAAAATTTTTTGACATTTCATATAACAATCCAGATTCCTGGCTTTTGAAAGATAAGAGGGTCTGGCCACACTAGACCTATGTGTCCTTATGACCTGCTTCCATTGGTTCTGGTTAGCTCTCTGCCCTTTGTGCTTTCCACTTGGCTCCAGTTCCTCCCTGTCACACCCCAGTGCCTTAGATGTAGCCTGCTGCACTCCTTGACTAGTCTCTGTTGACATCTAAGTGTGTGATCACTGACCTGGAACGCTGAACCAGAGAGGTCAAGGCTCTCCCAAATCACATGGCCAGCGCCTGGCAGCACTAGTGTGAGAGGCCAGCTTTCCTATACTTAATCCCAGTGCTATTTCCTCTGTCCCAGTCTATCTCTGACCAGGAAAGCTCTAGTCACCTCATTGCCTCCATAGTGGTTGCCTATCTCCATTCATACAGAATGAGGCCATTTTCCATCTGGAGACTAAACTGATTATTATGTTTGCTCCTCTTCCCACACATTGGCAAGAAGACTAACTTACCTCTCGCTCTCCTATTTTTTCTTTTTTTGGTAGCACTGGCGTTTGAACTCAGGGCCTGATGCTTGCTAGGCAGGTGCTCTTACTGCTTGAGCCACTCTGCCAGCCCAAGTAACCTAACTTAAATCCCTCTGTTGCTGGTCAACCCCACTCTTTCTGCGTTGAGCATTGGGCTCTGTACCTGGCACTTGGCGTTCTCGATCTCGGCTGTCAGCCTCTGGATGATGCGATTCAGCTCGTTGATCTCCTCCCTGGTGCGGCGCAGGGTCTCTCCATGCCTGATCACTGTGGCCTTTATCTCCTCACACTGGGGGGAGGCAGAGATGCCATGAGCCTCAGCCTGGGATGTCCCACCACTCAGGACACCGTGGTTGACGGATCGTACAGTACAGTGCTCAGCCTGTGCAATCACACGTGGCAGCTCTGCCCTGCCACCCCAACCTGAGAGCTGCTGGCTCTTGTCTTACCATCCTTAGGGATCAGTATCCACAGGAAAAAAGAAGCCTTCTCCAATGGACACCTCACATCCCTGCACTGCCGTGTCTAGGAGGCAGGTGTCCTGAGCCACTCACCTTGGTGCGGTACCAGGACTCAGCCTCTGCCCGGCTGCGGCTGGCAATATCATCATACTGAGCCTTGATCTCAGCGACAATGCAGTCCATGTTCAGGTCCCGGCTGTTGTCCATCTTGACGATCACCGAGGTGTCTGAGATGTGGGCATGGAGAACGCGGATCTCCTGCAGGGAGTGG